TCCACCAGCACCCCCAAGTCCCTTTCCTCAGGGCTGCTTTCCAATCCCTCACCCCCCAGGCTGTACTGATGGTGAGGATTGTTCCGGCCCAGGTGCAGAACCTTGCATTTGCTCTTGTTGAACCTCATGAGGTTCACCTGGGCCCAGGTGTCCCGTTGGGGCGCTGCCTTTAGTGGGAATGAGCTTCTGTGTGATGAGGAGGAGAAACTCCATCTGGTTTTTGGCCAAAGGGGCCGTTTCTGAGCTGTGTCCCCCAGGATTCGGCACTCAACACCCCAACCCCTCTCTGCTTTAGTCTCTGGTAACACCCTGAGCTCTCCAGGGAGGACGTTTCCAGGTGAATACTAACTCTGGTCTGTGACTGTCTCGCTTCTGTGCTCTCTTCTCTTGCTTTGTGCTAACCCTGGAACTTGGGCAGGCTCAGAAGAGGAGGTACAGCCCGGGAAACCAGGTACTGCCCTTGCTCACCTACCCCTTCCCAAGCTGTGTAGGGTTTCTCCTTGGCTTATGGTGGAGGAATTCCCTTCTCTGAGCTCTGGAGATCCCTGTGTGAGCTCTGGAGATCCCTGTGTGAGCCAAGGGACTGCATGGAAACCCACACTCCTCCATCCTGGAGCTGTGGCTGAGCCTGAGGAAAGCTGGGGGATGAAGTGGGATCTCAACCCATATCTCGTTGAGATGGATTTTGTTGGAGGGTGAAGGAGTTTGGGGTCCACAGGGCTGTTGCAGCTCTAGATCCTGGAGCCGTGGGTGGTGGGGTAAGAGCAGAAACTCACCCCCAACTTTTTTTTCAACCCCCTCACAGCGTGTTTTCCCCTACATCTCGGCCATGGTCAACAACGGTTCCCTCACCTACGACCACGACCGGGACGGGAGGCCCACGGAGCTGGGGGGCTGCACGGCCATGGTGCGCAACCTCAACCATGACACCTTCCTGGTCATCCGCTACGTCAAGAGGAGGCTGACGGTGAGCCCTTCCTCCCTGGGGGCTGAGCAAGTGGTGGGTCAACCCTGGGTTGGGGGGGCTAAACCATCTTCTTTTTTCCTCCAGGTGTTGATCGATATCGACGGCAAACACGAGTGGAGGGACTGCATTGACGTGCCAGGCGTGCGCTTGCCCCGCGGGTACTACTTTGGGACCTCTTCTGTCGCCGGGGACCTCTCGGGTAGGGCCCCAGAGGGGCTTGTTTTCCAAGCTTTGGTAGCTCCTGAGCCGCTTTGAGTGTCTGGAGGTACCTGCTGGGGCTTTTGGATCCCCTTGCCCTGTGGGTCCTACTTTGGGACTTCTTCTGTCACCGGGGACCTCTCAGGTATGGCCCCAGGGGGTCTTGTTTTCCAAGCTCTGGTAGCTCCTGAGCAGCTTTGAGTGTCTGGAGGTACCTGCTGGGGCTTTTGGATCCCCTTGCCCTGTGGGTCCTACTTTGGGACTTCTTCTGTCACCGGGGACCTCTCAGGTATGGCCCCAGGGGGTCTTGTTTTCCAAGCTCTGGTAGCTCCTGAGCAGCTTTGAGTGTCTGGAGGTACCTGCTGGGGCTTTTGGATCCCCTTGCCCTGTGGGTCCTACTTTGGGACTTCTTCTGTCACCGGGGACCTCTCAGGTATGGCCCCAGGGGGTCTTGTTTTCCAAGCTCTGGTAGCTCCTGAGCAGCTTTGAGTGTCTGGAGGTACCTGCTGGGGCTTTTGGATCCCCTTGCCCTGTGGGTCCTACTTTGGGACTTCTTCTGTCACCGGGGACCTCTCAGGTATGGCCCCAGGGGGTCTTGTTTTCCAAGCTCTGGTAGCTCCTGAGCAGCTTTGAGTGTCTGGAGGTACCTGCTGGGGCTTTTGGATCCCCTTGCCCTGTGGGTCCTACTTTGGGACTTCTTCTGTCACCGGGGACCTCTCAGGTATGGCCCCAGGGGGTCTTGTTTTCCAAGCTCTGGTAGCTCCTGAGCAGCTTTGAGTGTCTGGAGGTACCTGCTGGGGCTTTTGGATCCCCTTGCCCTGTGGGTCCTACTTTGGGACTTCTTCTGTCACCGGGGACCTCTCAGGTATGGCCCCAGGGGGTCTTGTTTTCCAAGCTCTGGTAGCTCCTGAGCAGCTTTGAGTGTCTGGAGGTACCTGCTGGGGCTTTTGGATCCCCTTGCCCTGTGGGTCCTACTTTGGGACTTCTTCTGTCACCGGGGACCTCTCAGGTATGGCCCCAGGGGGTCTTGTTTTCCAAGCTCTGGTAGCTCCTGAGCAGCTTTGAGTGTCTGGAGGTACCTGCTGGGGCTTTTGGATCCCCTTGCCCTGTGGGTCCTACTTTGGGACTTCTTCTGTCACCGGGGACCTCTCAGGTATGGCCCCAGGGGGTCTTGTTTTCCAAGCTCTGGTAGCTCCTGAGCAGCTTTGAGTGTCTGGAGGTACCTGCTGGGGCTTTTGGATCCCCTTGCCCTGTGGGTCCTACTTTGGGACTTCTTCTGTCACCGGGGACCTCTCAGGTATGGCCCCAGGGGGTCTTGTTTTCCAAGCTCTGGTAGCTCCTGAGCAGCTTTGAGTGTCTGGAGGTACCTGCTGGGGCTTTTGGATCCCCTTGCCCTGTGGGTCCTACTTTGGGACTTCTTCTGTCACCGGGGACCTCTCAGGTATGGCCCCAGGGGGTCTTGTTTTCCAAGCTCTGGTAGCTCCTGAGCAGCTTTGAGTGTCTGGAGGTACCTGCTGGGGCTTTTGGAACCCCTTGAGGAACCTTTCCGTGCTTTGAGCACCCTTTAGCTGCGAGCGGGAGCCTTGGTTTTTGTCTCACAGCAACTCCCAAGGAGCCCAAAGCCCCGTTTGGGCACGTTGTTTCCCTGAGGGCTTTGTCAAAGTGGCTCTTCCTGCTTTCCTTGAGCTCCTGGTGTGGCCACAGCCCGACCTCAACCCGTTCCTCTTCATGACCCAGCGGTGAAGCGGCTCTGCCGGCTCAGCCGGAGGCTCTGTCTTCAAAACATGTGCCTTGGGAGGAGTAAAAACAGGATGAGCACTGAAAAAACACCTCTCCTGTGCAAACCCATGGTGTCTGGGTTGTCCCTGAGGGCAACGTTGGGAAGAATTACCCTCTGGAGACACCCCGGGCGTTACAGCCAAGCCCTGGTCTTCACTCCTGATCCCAAACTCCATTTTTGGGGTGCACCTGGGTGTATTTTGCTTGTCCATCGGGGTTTGCCAAGAGCTAAATCCCAGCCGCCTTCTTCAACCTCATTCTTCTCCCCCCGAGGTGCCCTCAGCCCTGACCTGACCCTGCTGTGCCTCTTTCCTCAGGTTTTAAGCCCAATTTGAGTTCTGCCTCCACAAAAGCTCATTGGTGGCCAGTGTCTGGGCTCATTGTTGGCTCCAACAAAAGTTCCTTTTCTCTCTCTCTGGTTTTATTTTCCCCCGGGGGGCTCACAGAGCTCCCCTTCTCCCACCAATAACTCCATCCCAAGCCAAGGGCCGCGTGAGGCCGGTGTGAACACATTCCCTTCGGGTTTTAAGTCAGATGATCTCCCATTCTGGGAGCTCTTTGGGTGCTTTTTTTTTCCACTTTTAAGTAGCTTAAAAGGTTTCTGTTGGCAGAGGGTCCTGCTCTGGGGCTGAGTGTGTCCCCCTTTGAGAAGGGAGAACTTTGTCTTTGCCATCCCTGCAGCACTTGGGTCCCCTGGCCGGAGACGTGTTTACGGGTGACACCTCAGATCATCAGTTTCGAGACCATCGGTTGGACTCGATGATCTCAAAGGTCCTTTCCAACCATGAATATTCTGTCATCTGTGATCTCAGGACGTGTTTCTTCTCTACTTCCAGACAACCATGACATCATTTCTCTGAAGCTTTACCAGCTGACGGTGGAGCGGACGCCGGAGGAGGAGAAGCGGGACAGAGAGGTCTATCTCCCCGTGGTGGACAACCTGAAGCTGCCGGGAAGTGAGTAGGAGCTACCAACCTTTAGGGGAGACCTGCAGAGTTGGGGAGCAGAAACCACATCATCTCACCAGCAAACCAGCTGAGAGCTTTGGGGAGCCAAACCCTGGGCTGGTGTGAGGCTGGTTGTGGTGTGGGGCAGTGACACCCCCTCTGTGCAGGGAGATCTCAGCCCAGGGTCTCCTGGGGGGCATCAGGAAGAACGTGGTCAGCAGGTGGAGGGAGGTCATCCTGCCCCTCTGCTCTGCCCTGGGGAGGCCCCATCTGGAGCACTGGGACCAGTTGTGGGCTCCCCAGTTCCAGAAGGACAGGGAACTGCTGGGGAGGGGACAGCAGAGGCTACAAAGATGATGAGGGGAGGAGAACATCTCTATGATGAGGAAGGGCTGAGGGACCTGGGGCTGTTCAGCTGGAGAAGAGCAGACTGAGAGGGGATCATCAGCAAACCAGCTGAGAGCTTTGGGGAGCCAAACCCTGGGGTGGTGTGAGGCTGGTTGTGGTGTGGGGCGGTGACACCCCCTCTGTGCAGGGAGATCTCAGCCCAGGGTCTCCTGGGGGGCATCAGGAAGAACGTGGTCAGCAGGTGGAGGGAGGTCATCCTGCCCCTCTGCTCTGCCCTGGGGAGGCCCCATCTGGAGCACTGGGACCAGTTGTGGGCTCCCCAGTTCCAGAAGGACAGGGAACTGCTGGGGAGGGGACAGCAGAGGCTACAAAGATGATGAGGGGAGGAGAACATCTCTATGATGAGGAAGGGCTGAGGGACCTGGGGCTGTTCAGCTGGAGAAGAGCAGACTGAGAGGGGATCTCATGGATGCTGAGCAAGAGCTAAAGGGAGGGGGGCAAGAGGATGGGGCCAGACTCTTCTCAGTGGTGCCCGGGGACAGGACAAGGGGTGATGGGCACAAACTGGGACATGAAAAATAAGGAAAATGTCACTTTGAGGATGGCAGAACCTTGGAAGAGGCTGCCCAGAGAGAGGGTGTGGGGTCTCCTTCTCTGGAGATATTCCAAACCCCACCTGGACACGTTCCTGTGCGACCTGCTCTGGGTGGACCTGCTTTGGGAAGGGGTTGGACTGGGTGATCTCCAGAGGTCCCTTCCACCTTCTACCAGGCTGGGACACTGTGATTTGGGTCTCACACTCTGTTTTTCTTCCTCTCTCACTCAGTGGAGGCGCCGCTGGAGCCCATGAGCGGCCTGGCTCTCTTCTTAATCGTCTTCTTCTCCCTCGTTGCCCTCGTTTTCGCCATCGTCATCGGAGTCATCATCTACAACAAGTGGCAGGAGCAGAGCAGGAAACACTTCTATTGACTGGGGAACCCCCCTGCCCTTGACCCGGGGTGGCCCAGTGCTAGTCCTTACTAGCCACGGCCCGACTCCCACCCATCCCAGACTGGCCAGAGCTCTTGGGGGCTCTCGGTGATGGACTGACCCTCACGGCAGGGACCCTGGTGTTCCCCTGAAATCCCCAGTTGGGGGGGGAATGGCTGCAGTTTCTTACTGGGCTCCACAACTCCCAGTTGGGACCCCCCCAGCGTGGGGTGGGACGGACGGACGGGGAGCCCGGTGCCGCGGGGACGGATGGACGGACCAGAAGGAGCTTTGCTTTGTGAGTCCTTCAGGAGGAGAAGGTGGCCGTGCCGTGGGGTGCAGGTGACACTGAGCCATCTCCCTGCCCCCCCGGGCAACCCCAGCACCGGCAGGATTTGCCACGGGGGCTGTGAAATCCCAGTGGAGAAGGGACCTTGCTGACCCCCCCCTGCTCTCCTCACCGGACTCCACAGCGGTACCGTTTTACCCTCACAACCCCTTGTCTCCAGCAGTTTCATTTCCAGGAGGGATTTTCCAAGCTTTCCATCACCTGGTTTTGGAGACGGGATGGTTTTTCTCTGGAATTTGAATTTCCATCCCCCGAGCTTCAGTGTTTTGGGGCAGAGGATGCTCGTGATTTTTTTTGGTGGTTTTTTTTTTCTTTTTTTTCCCCCAGCGGTGAGGCAGGTTGAGCCCTGCCTGCCTTGCCGGGCTCCCCAAAGCTTTGGGGACCATCCTGTCCCCTTGGTGGGGGGGGACACCCCCCTCCTCAATTCGGGGTGTCGTGCTGCCTTCCCCCATTCCAACAACAACTTGCTGCTGCCTTTTGGGGTCCAGCCCCTCTCCCCACTCCCCTAGGGCTGAGCATGCCCCCCCTGTCCTGCCCCCCTGCCCTTTGCATGTCGTGTCGTGGCTTCTGGCAATTTGTGGGTGTCCCCCCCTGCCCCCC